TTATTTTCCCAGTCAGCAAGCACGAATAGAGAATTGTAGGATTAGCAATTCTAAGCAAAATTCATATATATTTAGAGGGGGGATCCGATGGGCTAAGGCCGAAAATGCGTCAAAACATACGAGAACACGGCCCTTTTTTCCATTGATAAAAATAGTTTTAGTAGTAAGAGATGTACTGAAGTTAAGTAAAAAATAGTCTGATTAATATGTATGGATAATATATTTGGCAAGTGCATAAAATACACTTTCAAACGAGTTATGTACACAATTATTTCTACGACCACAATTATTTAAAGAATGTTCCAGGTGTTTTGTATATTAAAGTGTACGCATATGACACATAAATAAAATCTTATATCACAATGTTTCACCTAACCAGTTGGTTTATTTATAGAAATTAAACATAATAATTGAAGATATTACAGAAGAAAATAGGGAAATAAATTACATTTCCTTTTACACTTTTATATAATAATTGTTTTATTTAGAATTCACGAATCACTTATTGCTCTACATTAATTATAATTATTGTTAGTTTCGTTGTCAAATCATTTATACTAGAGGTGTGAGGAAAATACAGTGAACTGTGGAACGCCAATATCGTTGGATGCGCGTGGTAGAAATGGTCCTATAATACTGCTAAAAACATAGCTAAATTTTCATGGAAACACTGTGTACTTTTGACATTTGCGATACTTCGACGCATATGCATTATTGATGTAATCTCATGATTTTACAGTAATAGTTTTTGCAATTTTAGTGTGATTTTTAGGTTAATATGGTTATTCATTTTATTTGGTTCCGATCTTTTGCGCTTTTAGAGTATTTGTCTTTTATATAGTTTTTAATTTGAATTTTAATATTGTGGTCTATTTATATTTGATTGCGGCTTTTCGACTAGTGCTTTATTCTTTTTGTGTTAAAATAAGCTTTATAACCATTAAGTACATGCTAGTTAATATTTATCTAATCGTCATCGGGTGCTTGCAACAATGGGAAAAAGTGTATGGTTTTTTTGGTGTAAAGTTAGACGCCTTCATTTTTCAGGTAAGTTATTTTTAGTTATTTTTTACTTAAAAGGATAGCAATACGTCCTGGTTCGGGGTGGACTTTTGGGTTTTAGCTATCTGAGCCAAATTGTCGGCTAAGTGTCCTCTTTTAGGGCACCCAGAACCGAAAATTATATAGGTATAAATATGTTTTTTTTTTTAATTATTTTTTAATATGTATGCAGCTTGGATGAGGGCTTTAGGAAGAGATTCTAAGACTGAACACTGACTGCTATAAATGCCGTTTTTAGAGCACATTTCATAGTAAGTGATTTCATTCCAGCAGCAATGAGGAAACGTTTAAAAAACATGCTGTACCAGCTATTACTTTATAGTCCAATCATTATAGTAAGTTCACCTCGGAATTCGAGATACCCAGCTGTAAGTCTGTAAATACTTGTATATTGACACCCTAAAAGTTGTCTCAAAACCTACATATGGTAGGGTGTACGCATCTATTAAATTTCAAGGTCAAAGGTCACAAAAATCGGTTTTTTGCGCTCATTTTGTAAATATCTCATTTCCTATGGGTTTTTTGCTATTTGTATTTATTATCAATATTGTAGAATACAAAATTTTCTAAAAATTTTGTTTAAAAAAATTTTTTATACGGTGAACCGTTTTCGAGATAGATGACGGAGAGCGCGCGGTCACAGCATCACTTCAGGTCAACCGGTGCCTCCGGTCGAAAACGCGCCATATATAGTTGATGAAATATCGATAAATTAATGATTATAAATATTTGTCAATTTTTATTAACTATTATATTATATTTTATCATTTTTTTTCCTAACCTATCCACTTTTTATTTAGTATTAATTTATTTAACAACACTTACCTGCCCATGTAATTGCAAAATTGTTAATGAAAATATAGGAATTATATTTGAATTTTAACCTAATTAATATTAATAAATTCTTACATGATGAAAAAAAAAAAAAAATAAATTATGAATTAATCTTTTTATTAAAAAATTTCATTCAATACATTTATTTTTATTAAAAGTAAAAAAATGGAATAAAAAGTACAAAAACTACAATTTATAATTTTAATAATCTTCTTCCTCTTCATCGTCGTCTTCCGGCTGCTGGTAAATTTCAAACTGGTCTTCATTATCGTCTTCAATGACATTTCTCTCAAGTTCTTCCATGATTTCGGGGTCAAAGGTTCCATCTTCGTTAATATCGCTCTGATATTGTAGAGCATTGAGATAAGCTTGCCCATTACATTGGCCACAAGCTAAAGAGCATTGCAAGCCCACTTTCATGCATCCGCATCGCGAACCACAACCACTCTTGCAGTTGCAGAAAATTGTATTTAGCAAATCTTCTGGAGCAGGTGGTAAAATTGTCATGATAGGCTCCAGAAATTCGTTTCGCATTGCCCAACTCCATACCTGGGGTTCCAAATCATGCCTTAACCAAGTTTGAACTTAATAATATACACGTTTGAAAGGTTGATGAGCAGCTGCTTTTGTTGGTGGAATATTTGAAAGCTGCACAGGTTAATTAAGTTTTGTAGACTTGACGTAATGCATATAACGAAGATGATCGAGACTTTTCACAGATTTCGGAGCATTATAGACTGCCAATAAGATTTGAGTTCCACTCTCTAATAATCTCTGGGCCGAACAATTTTCTTTCTCAAATGCTGCAGCTAGTTCATTCAAATTTGTCAGTTTCTCAAAAACTTTAAAAAATGATTTTTTCCCTTTTTAAAAAGCGCAGAAGTTGTGTCACAGCCACTTAATGCGTGCAGAAATAAAATATGTGTTTTGGAATGAGGATAATTATCAAAACTTTTAGTCAAGTATATCCCCGTTTTTACATTTCCTTTCCCAACTTTTTTAAAGAAAATGTCTTGTTCGTAAGACAGTGTACGCCCAATTAAAATGACAAGTAAATCAATATCTTGTCCTATTATAACTGCAGTTTTTTCAGAATTTGATTCTTCAATTGCAGTTTCAACAACAAGAACATCAGCATTATCTCTGGCTTGTTTAGTAGTAATATTTGCAGCTTGTAATTTTTCAATTAATATATTAATGAGCATATCTTTGTTATTTCGATTTGATAAGAATTTTTCTTGAGTAACTGGTACAACTATTGTTTCATCTTCTCTGCTGCTCCATAGCTTTTACGTTCTTACTGTAATCTGAATTTTTTTAAACAAAATTTAGAGAATTTTGTATTCTACAATATTGATAATAAATACAAAACCCATAAAAAATGAGATATTTACAAAAAAGCGCAAAAAACCGATTTTTGTGACATTTGACCTTGAAATTTAATAGTTTCGTACACCCTGCCATATGTAGGTTTTGAGATAACTTTTAGCGTGTCAATATACAAGTATTTACAGACTTACAGCTGGGTATCTCCAGTTCCGAGATTCTTACCTAATTTAAGCTTAAATGACTGGACTATTAAGATCTCGTCTCTTTAAGTTATTATTACTTCATTCTAATGCATATATTAAAATGGTTTTTAACTTATGTCCTTATGATTAAAATATGTAGGTATTTTAGTTATGTTATAATAGAAATATATGATACTTTGTATTGACTGACCTACTGGCCACTGGTCATTCCACTTTTACTCCCTTTTTCATAAATTATCAAATTATTTAAAAACAAATACATACATACATATTTTCTGTAAATTACATTAAAATTTTAGTGTTAATACTTTACTAATAAAACTTCAGTTAATTTATCTTATATATATACACAACGGAAGAGTCAATTGGATTTTCTCCTTGTTGAGTTTCAAAAATAGTAATTTAACATGATTTAAAAACAAATACATGAAATAGGCAAAATAGGCCTGCAAAGGCACTTTGTAAACAATCTCACTTGTATCGATGCGTAATGCGCGAATTCAATCTGGCTTACTTTTGTTAATAGATTGGCGTTCCATTTTAAATATACAGTTCACCGGGAATAGATTATTTAAATATACACGGACCGGGAAAACAAGTACGAAAAAATTAACTGGCTCCTGGACTAGTACTGTATCGAAGGAATTTTTATGAATGAAACAATATACGACCCTCCACAATTGCGGTCTACTCTACTTCCGCTGTTGTCAGACATTATTTTTTTTTGGACAATTTAAAGACCTAACAGTAATTCAAGCAAACGCAATAACATTACTACAGTTAAAAACATCGCAAACTTGGCATCAATATTTTAATTTTATCCAAATATTGCATTTCTGTCGAGGATCATCCGCGTTGACTTCAGAAATTGTGTAATCTGTATTGGTTATATATATATCTATATTTAAAAGCACGTAAACTTGGCATCAATGTTCAATCCGATTATTGGGTTTCTACCGCGGACACCACCGTTCATTCTTCAAAAATTTTATAAATAATCCTATCTGTCTTGGTTATATATCTATGGGTTGAACCTAGTACGATTTTCATATAAAATTGGTTTAAACTTCCAAAATACCCAGTATAACCTCATACCTACATGTTGGTATTTTCTTGAAGGGCAAAGTCACGGGAATTTAAATTTACAATGAACTACAGGGTGGTCCATTTAAAAAACATAGGTTTGATCAATTCTGAAGTTATGGATCACTCTGTATAATCGAAAATAATTTTGAAATGTGCAGATTAATATTATCTACAACTTTTGTACATAACATTGTTTGATATTTTCTATAATCTAGGATATATTAAACTTCCACACACTATTGGGACACCCTGTATAAGAGAACACATTATTGTCATATACACCGACTGGGATAATAAGTACGAAAAAAATTCACTAGCTCCTGGACTATTATGAAATGTTTATGCTTTAATTAAAGAACTATTTATTTAGGTGTTTCTGTTTTGCTTGTATTAATAATTATTATCCTCGCAATTATCTAATTTTGTTTGCTTTTTTTATAAATCACTTCAAAACCCCCTTTGAAACGCATTTTTAATAGTCTTTATCCCCATTTCAACTGATCACGATCCAAATATAAACCGACTGAGTCTCACCTGTCCGAGAGGAAGTAGAAATGGAAATGAGTAAGTACAGCAGCAGTTTTAGTTAGTGGTTAGCAGCACACAAGGCTCAGCTAAGGTCGCGTACGGGCCCCATTCCATCTGTTTGTTATATAGTCAGCGAGGCCGACTTCATTTGTGACCGTGTTTTGTTTTGGTGGATACGTAATAACCGCGACAACTCGCGATTTTTGTTTCTATTTTGTTTTGTTGTTGTGTTTCGACCCGAAATGGGAAATAAATTGTGCAAAAAGAAATCTGATAGTGTGGATAATTCTAACAGCAAATCACCCTCGCAGTTCGATAGGATTATCAATAGATTGCATGTGAGTTTATTAGTTTGTACTTGAGATGTTGTTTATAATAAACAAAAACCTGTTTTCTTCGGTATTGAATGGAAATTGAATTCCGCGGATTAGTCATCGATTTAAAAATACTGGTTTATTTATTTCGAGACAAAATGAAATGTATTATTTTAAAGCCGGATAATATTTAGAATTTAAAATGGTACTTTTATTGTTACTATACTATTTTACATAAAATTTCTGAATTTAATTGGCAACATTTTTTTATTCAACACTATAAAGTAGTACCTAATAAGTGACATTTCATATTTTAGATGTTTACTTATCCATTTCTATAAAAACTGCTCTATGGCCTTGGAAATGCCTAAGAGATATATAACACTATACCGATGTAATTTGGACGTAGTTATGCAGAAATGATCCAATCCACCCAAACCATATTTTGAGAAAAATGATGTTAAAGTTAAAGTCTCTATGCGATAACAATAGAATATATAACGAGTTTTTATAATTTTTACTATTAATATCCTTCTAAATTGTTGGATCATTTCAGCAGAATATAATTTTGGATTGAAATGCTAGGTACTCAAGTCATTTCTGGTAGATTTGTGGATTGGATCATTTCTGCATAACTACGTCCATTTTTTTTTTTTAGATTTATTCCCTTTTATTGTCTATCTCGAATTGTTGTTTGAATTCTTATTAATGTGCTTATGTATGTATAGGCGTTGTTTCCCAGCGCCACTTTACAAACAGCACTATTAATTATTAGAACCCAATAGTGTATAGTTATAAATACTGCCTATATAATGTAGGAATATGATGAAGTGTTATAATACTTTTGAGCATTCTGTAATATTATATGGATTCTTTAACAAAGGGACCACTATATTTCTGCACACGTGCAGTTTTGTTTATATTAACGCTCTTGATTGTTGAATAGATATTCCTTTTTACTTTCCTATCTGTATACAGATATAAGGAAAGTATAGGAATCATGATTTTTTTCGACCTCGAGTTTTCGACGGATTTTTACGTTTTGAGGTCCCCTGAATCCGTTTTGACTATTTTCGCGATGATGTCTGTGTGTGTGTGTGTGTGTCTGTGGGTGTGTCTGTGTGTCTGTATCCACCATAACTCATGAACCGATACACAGAAAAACACCAAATTTTAAACTTAAGCTTTGTTCCAGCGTCCAATGTGCTGATTAGATTTTGGGCAGTGTCGGAACATCTGGGGGGGTACTTTATAGGTGGTCATTTTTATATTTTATGGAATATATATGTTATTTACGTTTGGGGAAGAAAATTCTTCAAATAAAAGTTACTTCTTATATTATTATCTATAATTTTTGTTCTATACAAAATTTTCCTAAAATGGTCCGTATTCGAGAAATTTGACAAAATGTAAAAAAATATTTTTTTATAAAAATTGTTCAAACAAAAGTTGTTTGTAATATAATTTTCTATAATTTTTATCCCATACATAATTTCTCTAAAATGGGACCGTATTCGAGATATTTGAGAAAATGTGTAAATTTTGAAATTTGAAGAAAACTCAAAAACGGATAAAGAAAAAAACATTAAATTTTAAACTTAAGTTTTATTTCGGCCTGACGTGAAATGATTAGATTTTGGACAAAGTCGGAACATCTGGGGGGGTACTTTATGGGGGGCCGTTTTTATATTTTATGGAATATATCTGTTATTTATGTTTGGAGAAAAAAATTGTTCAAATAAAAGTTATTTCTATAATAAGTTATTATCTATAATTTTTGTCAAAATTTCCTGAAATGGTCCGTATTCGAGAAATTTGACAAAATGTGCAACATTCTGATTTTTATGAAAATTGTTGAAAAAAAAGTTGTTTGCGATATCGATCTCTATAATTTTTGTTTATACATGATTTTTCTAAAATGGACCGTAATGGAAAAATTGTAGGAAAAGTGCTAAATTTAAATTTTTCAGTATTTTCATTTTCAATGAACATCTATAGAAAAATGTTTCGAGGAAAATGTATATATTTATTTTATCCTCTAAACATTAAATAACCGGAAAAGGCCTGTAATAACTAGATAGGAAAGTCATGTGTTGGACACATCAGATTTTTTAAGATGTTTTGGTTTTTGAGTCAGTCAAGACATATTCGTTGTATCGATTGGAATAAACTCAGTTTGCTACGTTATAATTTATATTAAGTAATAAAAAAATGTAGACCTTGGTGAGTACTGAGGGGTAAATCACTCTTTGTAAAAATGTATATGTATTGCTAAATTCACATGATTTCCGCAATCATATGGCGATTTCTGGGTGACTGCGGTGATTTCCATGTGACTTCCTACATAGTTCTAGTTACTGCGGTGATTTCCACATGACTTGAATATATTTCTCGTGACTGCGCTCATTTATGTGTTGACTGCAGCGATTTCCGTACTCATTGCGGCGATTTCCGTATGGATTACCAGAATTTTTCAAATGTGCAGGTATTTTCGAAAGAATTCGGTTTCGTTCGACTTTAGGAACACAGTGTTTGACCAGTTTTACTTTATTTTTTTGATTTAAATGATATTAAGTATGATTTTAACTCACCTTAGGTTTGGAAATACGAAAAAAAAGTACCTATAAATCAATTATATATTTTAATTAAATACCTACTTTTTGAAAATAAGAAAACAAGTCTTTCATTAAATTTAACCTAAAACTTAAAAAATTTAATATTTGACATTTCTTTTCTGGATAATGAGCGGGGTTGCCAAGATTAATTTATTCCAAAAACTAAATAATCTAGGTATTAACAGTATGATCGCGTAGCCGAGAATTTAGAGTGAATTTTTATGTTGAATGAGTCAAATAAAATGATATTGTAACATTGTATTTCTAGAAATTACTCAAAAATGTCATGTGAAATGTCAGTAAGTTATAAAAACTTACAAAGGATTGCTGTTTAATTTTATAAACAATTGTATAAGCTGATATGAACAGATATTATTCTTTGTTCTGTGTTAGGGGCAGGGAGCGATGTTTGATACAGATTCTGGTATTTTATCAAAAAATTCTATTATTTTTATTTAAATAAACAAATCATAAAAGTATAATTATTTACGAGTTTCCAAATTAATTATTTTATCTTCTTACATATTAAAATACTTGGTAACCCTGTACACATAAGTCAAAATATTTTATTAAAAATGTGCAATTTTTGAGATTTTAATATTAAATTTCTCGCTTAATCATGGATAATCTCCAATTTTTTTTTATTTTCATGATATATAACTTCTCTACTTTCTAATAGTACAAAAAATATTTTGAAATACATGTGTCTTTTAAGTCGAATGTAACCAAGAATTCTACAACAATGTATGGGCTTCCCAGTTAGTTTCCAGATGCCAAAGAAGGCAGCACGGCACCTCGAGAATTTTGAGTTGAAACATATGCCAAAATTTAAGGCTATTTTAAGGCTATTTTTATATCCTATTCAAAAATTTTATGCTCCTTGTTTTTTGCAAAAATCAAGGTGCTCTGCTAGCTTCGAACGAAGTCAGCAGAGCACCAAAGTTTTTTAAAGCTTTTTCCAAAGCCAACGACACCATATTTTTAGGCTGTTTTTAGGCTCTTAAAATATTATAAAACTTTTCGAAAAATGTTGTTATTTTTAAAAAATACAGGGTGCTTTGCTAGCTTCGAACGAATCCAGCAGAGCACCTCGGTTTTTTAAAGCTTTTTTCTAAAAACAACTACACCACATATTAAGGCTATTTTTAGGTTCTTGAAATATTATAAAACTTTACTTAAAAAATTGCTATTTTTAAATAATACAGGGTGCTTCGTTGGAGCAAAGTCAGTAGAGCACCTCGGTTTATTATTTATTTTTCAGAAAACTAGCACTTAAAACAATATATAACTTCAAAAAAAAATGTATTTTTTAAAGAATACAGAGGGTGCTTTGTTAGCTTCGAACGAATCCAGCAGTGCACCCCGGTTTTTTAAAGCTCTTGAAATAATATAAATTATTCAAAAATTCGAAGCTAGCAAAGCACCCTGTACTTTTTAAAAATAACAACATTTTTCGAAAAGTTTTATAATATTTTAAGAGCCTAAAAATAGCCTAAAAATATGGTGTCGTTGGTTTTGGAAAATAGCTTTAAAAAACTGAGGTGCTCTGCTGACTTCATTCGAAGCTAACAGAGCACCTTGATATTTTCAAAAAAACGAGGAGCATAAAATTTTTGAATAGGGTATAAAAATAGCCTTAAAATAGCCTAAAAATGTGGCATATGTTTCAACTCAAAATTCCCGAGGTGCTTTGCTGCCTTCTTTGGCATACGAATCTCTCAGTCATTACTCAGAAAATAGCAGAAAATGTCGATAAACGTATTCAGACTGATGTTATTTATACAGATATGACTAAAGCATTTGACAGACTTGACCATGAAATTTTCGTAAAAAAACTGTCTGCTTTTGGACTCTCAGATAGTCTTATTGTGTATCATATTTGTGTAACCGTTCACAATACATTCAGCTCGATGAGTTCAAGTCTATTGAGTACCTTGCCACATCGGGTGTCCCTCAAGGGTTAAATATTGGCTCGCTCTTGTTTAATATTTTTACAAATAACATTGGTAGTGTAATTAATGTTAATTATCTACAGTATGCTGATGACCTTAAAATGTATACTTCCATAAATAGTATTGCTGACTGCGAGCGACTTTATGAAAATCTAAAACAAATTGATGAATGGTGCCGTAGAAATAATTTAAAATTGAACCCAGCCAAGTGCAATATTATGTCGTACTCCTTAAAGTCAGATTCAACTTTTTACCAGTAAGTATATTGTCATCGAAACACCCTTTAAGATTTAAGAGTCCTATTTGATTTAGCACTTTCTTTTACTGACCATAGTATTGCATCCTCATCTAATCGTACATATGGATTCATAATCAAAAACAGCCGTGATTTTAAGAAAGCAGATATCAAAAAATGTCTCTATTATGCCTTTGTCCGATCCAAACTTGAATATGCGTC